CACGCAGCAACAGCATGCAGCAGCACCTAAGCAGCACCAGCCAGCAGCAACTACTAACACAACGCAGAACCAAGCCGCAGAAACAATCAGCACGCACCAGAAGGTACTGGTCAGTCGCGACAAGAAGCGGGAACCAGGAGCGAATAGCAGCAAGTAGCAGGCGGTACCAAGCAGCGGCAAGCGGCAGTGAGCGACAGCGGACGGACGAGCAAGGAACGAAGCAAGCAACAGAGAAATCAGGCGATCAGGCTACGAGGTGCAGGCCACCAGCCTAGCATCCTGGCCAGCAGGACTGCCGATACGAAGCCAAGCAGACAAGCGATCCTCACCCTTGCATGCGAGTGAGCTGTGGTGGCCAGCAGGGGGATTCTGATCTGATCTGGCCGTTTGCCGTGGACGCGGTCCGCGGGTCAGTGCAGGTCTTCCGTGCGAATGCCGGTGCCAACGCTGTTTGGAAGGCGCTCGCCCAGGTGGCTAAAAGTTACCCTGGCGCGCCCCAGGGCCGCCCTAAGGCTCCCCGATCGGGCCTCCGAGGGCCCGTAAAGTCAAAAAGAGCTTCCAGAACACGCTCACGACCACACAGGCCCAGAAGGCGGCGCCAGACGCCCCAGCCCAATCCGCCACAATATACCGCCAAGAGGGCCCCCAGATGAGCAGACCCGCAAGAGGTGAAAATCATGCATGCACTTTCTTTTTTTCTGGCTTTCGCGCACTCGCTGGTACTCTTCAATGGGCTCGAGATAGCTCCCAGAAGGGCCTCAAAGGCGTCGAAGATGGCAAAGAACGCCCACGAGCAGTCTAGACGGCCTCACACGTCCCCAAGATTTCCCAACATGCCCCTGACTGGCTTCCAAGATGGCCCCAACACGGCTCCAAGGTACCCCGAGGCAGCCGCAAGATGGCCCCAAGATCTTTCGAGATGCCCCGCTGGACTTCCCAGAAGGGCTTTGCGAGGCCCCCTAGGAACTGCTAGATGGCCTTGAGAGTGCACACGAGGCCCCCTCGCACGGGCCCAACATGGCCCCAAGAGGCGTCAGGAGAGCCTCAGGCTGTTTTTTTTTTCTGCCCGAAGGTGCCCCCCCCCCCACCAGCAGGCGAGCAGGCCCCCTGCAGCGCCCCGGTACGACCCAAGAGGCCCCGGGAGATCCCAACAGTGTGTCCCTTCCGGCCCCAGCAGTAACAGCAGCGGCAGAGCCAGCAGGAGAACCAGCGCCGCGGCAGAGCCAGCAGTAGCAAGCAGCGGCAGGCAGCAGAAGCAACGGCCTGCAGCAAGTCGATCCAGCACCTGGCAGCAGCAAGCAGCAGCAATACGCAAACAGGCAGCAGGAAACAGCACGGGTCAGCACGAGTCCAAGACAAAACAACCTCGAGAGTGTCTGTGCCATCTGCTTGCGTTGGGTTTCATCCCAGGTTCCTCAACTCACCTACCAAGCTGGAATCGGCGCGTGCGAAAAGGGTGGGCACGCTATGCAGGCGCTGTCGTTGTTCAGCGAGTTGAGGGAGATGACTTGAGATATCAGCGGTATCTTTTCACGTACATAGTCGGACAAGCATGGCTCTGATGTCGTTGAAGGAGGTGTGGGTGGCGATGTTGTTCAGCGAGTTGAGGGAGATGACTTGAGATATCAGCGGTATCTTTTCACGTACATGGTCGGACAAGCATGGTTCTGATGTTGTTGAGGGAGGTGTGGGCGGCGATGCTGGAGCCCGAAGCCGTCATCATCCCTTCAATTCTGGGCCAATCGCCTCCTCGAAATCGCTTCAATTCAGGGCCAATCCCTTCAATTCTGGGCCAATCGCCTCCTCGAAATCGCTTCAATTCAGGGCCAATCGCTTCAATTCTGGGCCAATCGCTTCCTCAGTGTGCCTTCAGTTCTGGTCCGATCGCTTCCTCAGGAGCCTGTGCGGCAAAGGTCTCTGGGCCAATCGCTTCCTCGAGCCCCCCCGGGGGTCTGCCTGGAGCGGCTTCGGCGCTGCCTCCGGACCCCTCCCCTGTCGGGCCTGGGGTGCCCCAGGGTGTCCAAAAACGGCCCGGGACAGCCGTACAGGGTCCGGGATGGCCAGAGTTGGCTCCGACAGCTGCCCGGCAGGGCCCCCGAGAGGCCTCAAGCGGCTCCAAGAGGCCTCCAAGAGGCCCCTAGACGCCCCAAGAGGCCTTGCAGGAGCCGTCCAGAAGACCACAGGAAGTTCGAGACCTTTTAGGATTCAATGGAGCATGTGTGTCTTTTGCTTCTTAGGCTTCTCGACGCGATACAGCTCCACGACGGCATCGGCGGCCCCCCTCGGGGACTCCTGGGCCGTCTTCGGGTCCCCTTTGGGCCGTCTCGGTCCGTCTTTGGGCCGTCTTCGGCCACTCTGTACTGTCTTAGAGTGCCCCAAGAGAGCTCAAGGACGGCTCCAGGGGGGCTCCCAGAATGCCACAGAAGGCGTCGGCGAGCTTGCTGACGGCTCGACACGCCCTCCAGAGATCGCCACCACAACAGCCCAACAGGCCCCAAGAGAACTCCGAGACAGCACAGGACAGCCCCAATAGGGCCCAAACACTACCCTGACAATTACGGCCATGGAGTCCTCCAGCACAGCCTCCATATCTGGCAGCACAAAAGCCAGCAGCTGCAGCAATGAGCAGCTAGAAGCCGAAAGCAAGCAGCCGGTGCGCACTCCCCGCGGCCGGCTGGCGGCCATGCCCGCTGCCGTGCCGTGCGGCAGGGGATCAGGTGCGACTCCCAGATCTGCTAGCATAGTGGCAGTAACGTCGGGAAGACAGCTGTATGGCTATCAGCCACGCGCGCAGGACAGCAGGCAAGCGTTCTCAGCTTCTACACATGAGTTTATTGATTCATCCTCTTCATCATCGGCAGTGGTCGGGTATGACTCGGCGTACGCCGCTGGCGTGACACAGGTTACTAGTCGTGTTGTCTTCCGGAAAATTGAAAGCCATATTGCGCAATGTCTAGACGAGCCTGCTGATCACCTGGTCGACTGCGGTGCCTCTGGAATCTTCCGTGACCCAGTTGATGTATATCGTTGGGCGAGTTCCTCGAGCTAATCTTTGGCAATATGAGGTCAAGCAGCCCCTGATCATTTTCAACATGGGCTGTCGTGGACGTGTACTCCGCGAGTGCGCGAAGGGCCCCGCGACCGCGCCACCGCAGGGCGGCAGGGAATCAGTCCGGAGGGGCTCGGGAGGGCCCCGTGCCCCTTGGGCCCGCTTTCTCTGGTCCCAGGGCACCCAGGGCGTTCGGGCAGCTCCCGAGGCCGCTCCTGGACATCAAGGCTCGCCGATGCATCCCCTGCAGTCGGCCCTGATCAGTAGGTCTACCCTGCCTGGTCAAGGGTATCCTTGTGTCCTGTGTTTCGCGACCCATGCCTTCTGCAGTCCTGCTGCAACGTGGCCCTCGGAAGGGTCTTGTGTCCTTGCGCGTGTCCTCTCCAATCAAGTCCGACTGTGGAGCCTCCTTGCCCCACCCCTACCTGCATCGGACCCCCCACCCCAGGACCCATGCAGACACACCTAACCTCAGACATCGGCCTGGACCCGATCCGCAGGAGCAGTCTTCCGTGCCGAGACAACGCTTGATTGTTACCAGGCCGGAAAGCGGCATGCGCAGATCGACATTATGGAGAAACGCAGCGATTGAATTACATCAATCCGTCGGGCAACTGGTTTTGCTGGTACCGCGCTTGATGCGTCCCGATTGCTGCCAAATCTATGAGGAAGTTCGGCCCATCCCGACGGCGTCGTGGACCAGACGCCTCTTGGAAGCTTTTGAAGGCCTTTGGGGGAGACTATTGGGTGGTCCTGTATGTCCTCCTGGGAGCCTCTTGAAAGGCTTCTGCAGACTGCTCAATATTTCCAGCACGAGGTCTTGGGCTCCTGGAGGCCTCTTGGGGACCTCTTCGGGGTCTCATCGGAGGCCTCTGGGAAGTCTTGGGTCCTTCTCGAGGAGAGGCTCGCAGTGGTCGCGCGCGTTTGTGGGCCCTCTTAGGATTGGTTTGGGTGCCTCTTGGGCGGCTCCTGGCAGCCTCCGAGGCCGTCTAGTAGAGGTATGGTCGGCCTCTGCGGCAGTTGTGGACGCTCGTAAGACCGACAGCGTGAACATGCTGAATTTTTGCGAACGACGATTGCGTTTTTGTGTGCGATATGGGCCTTTTTGGCTAGCCCCCGGAGCGTCCAGGAGGGCCCAAGAGACCGTCAAGACAGCTCCAGCACATGCTCCTGGACTATCTTAGGGCACGCATGCGGCATGCTGCAGGCTCAGAGTCTCACCCCCGCTGCATGTGAGATCGAGGCGTGCGGGAGACGAGGCATCAAGCGGGGGAGAGCCCCTCCCCAACGGGGCGGCTCATCCCAAGGACACTCACCCCGACCCTCCCCAGGACCGCCCCTCTGTGGCGGCTAACCGAAGGGGCTTCCCTTCGACTCGATTACGACTTTGCTGTTGGTACCCATTGGGTTGACGTAACTCAGGAGGCGAAGCAGGCTCCGAGGTGGCCATAGCGAGAGGAGAGAGCTTCAGAATGCCTGGAGATGGCAAGCAGTCGTCCCCTCACGCCGACAGGGCTGTCGGATCTGCTCTCCAGGTCACGAGGAGGCGGCCCGACGGGTTCTACCAGAGACCGCTCCCCTGCTCCAAGCAAGCGAGGCACCCAATAAGTAAGCTGGGGGGCAGCACGAAGTCTGGGGCTTACGGTCAAGCATCGAATCAAGACACCTCCCCTGCCGGGCCATCATTTCTCAACCACTGTGCTGGAAAGGTGGCCCAGCTTTTGAACACGTTCGTCCCTGCAGCATGAGACCAAACAGTCGGCCCAGGCTTGTTTAAGAAACTTCTTGGAAGCTGGCTCAGCTTTCGTACTTCACATTTCTCTTCATCATATGTTCTGTAGGTCCTCAGCCATTTTGGCCCAGCTTGCCCGTCTAGGCAGGAGGGTGCAAGAGACAGGGTAATGTGTGTTGTTGATGAGCCGTTGAAGTGCCGAAGTCGGTTCCCGAATGGATGTTGGATGGCCAGCTTGAATATTCGCGAGGTGCCTCGTCTCTCAAAGCGACCATCAGGAATCACGGGAGACAAACTCAGTGGATCGAAGCGCTACGTCTGTTCCGGGACGCATGCCAGTCACGTGCGAAAGAAAGCCACAGTCTCTACATTGATATTGTCAGCGCATGCGGAAAAGGGCGTCAGTGGCAGCAGTACCTGTCGCTTGTCGACGAAATGGTTGAATTGAAGTTGGAGCTCAACGTTATTATTTGTAGTACTGGGATCAGCGTGTGCCGGAAAGGAGGACGATGGAAAGAGGCGTTGTCGTTGTTCAGCGAGGTATTGGGGACGAACTTGGAGCCAGACGTCATCTAACCTACAATGCCCGGCATTCCGCGTGCCAGTACGGCCATTCTTCCCACCCTCGCGGGGGGCAGCACCTCAGCGGCTTCAACCGTGGGGACGGCCCCAGCAGAGCCCACGGTCAACCCCAGGGAGCCCCCAGAAGATACCAGAGAAGCCCAGAGAGCGTCATAGCTGCTTCAGAGGGGCCCCAAGGATCGCACCAAGACGCCCAAGATGGCCCCAAGACGGTCCAAGAGGGCTCCAGGACGCCCCAAGAGGCCCAAGAGGACTCCCAAGAGGGCCCCAAGAGCCCAAATCATTGAGACGTACAAGAGGCCCCCCAAAACGGCCCCAAGACGGCCCCAAAGGGCCCCAAGACGGCACAAGAGGCGCCCAGGATGACCCAAGAGGGCCCCAAGACAGTCCCAATGAGGGACCGCGAACTGAGAATTCAAGGTTTCTGTCCTAAGAGGGCCCCAGGAGGCCCCAAGAGGACCCCGAGAGGCCCCAAGAGCTTCCCAAAAGGCCCACGAGAGGCCCCAAGAGGCCCCATAACGCCCACTGAAAGGCTTCAAAACTGCTTCCAAGAGTCCCCCGAGGGGCCTACCACGAGATCACAACGAATACTGAAGAGGCCCCTGACCCACAACCCATGCACGGTAGCGGGATGTTCCGAAGGCCAGTAGATGTAGCTTTGGCGGGGCCCACGGTAGCCTCCAGGGAGCCCCCAGAGGGTCCCAGAGAGCCCCAGGAAACGCAAAAACGGTTTCAGAGGGACCCAATACACTTCCACAGGCTTCCCAGGGCACTTCCAAGAGAGCCGCGAGGACAAGAAACAATCGATATCATGGTTCCTGGGATGCTCTTCTTGTGTTCCGCCCCCCCATCTATAGCCCAATATGGCGCCATAGGCCTCCGAAATTGGCCCGACGCGGCTCGGGCATCCTCCCTCTGCGACGGCGCAAAACGCCCCCAAGAGATTACCGGAGGCGTCCCAGACGGGTCCCGAAACCCCTTGGACGGCTTCAGGGGTGGCCCGAGAAGGCCAACTCTGGAGCGCCTCCCCTCCGCCTGGCCGCCCCCACGGCCAGCGAGCCCTCAGGACGCCCCCGAGAGGCTCCCAGATAGTTTGAGAAACGCTCCCAAGAGCCCTCCAGAAGTGCCCAAGCCGCCTGCGTGGAAAAGGCACTGCCCCACACCTCTTGGGACAGCCCTCGCGCTGGAAGGCTTGCAGACACACGCATCCGGACCCAGCCGCAAACGCCCAGGAACGCTGTTTTTTGTCTGGGGTCCTTCTCGCACGGCGCGTGTCCCCGTACGGCCAAGGGCTGAACCGTCGCCAGGCCTGCGGGGGCGCACCTCGGCGCCTCCACCGAGCCCCCAAGGCGCTCTCGGCAGACCCCCGGAAAGACCCACGGACGCGCCCAGGAAGCTCCCAAAATGCCAAAGAGGCTTCGGCACGTGCCTCCGAGAACCTTTTCCTCCCAGGTTGCTTTGAAAGTCTACTTCATGGAAGCGCCGCGGGATTGGAAAAAAACACACGCCCCACACCTATTGGGACACCTCTCGCCTGTGAAGGGCTACCAACAAAATGTTTCTGGACCGAGCCGCAAACGCCGTATAACTCTTTTCCAGGGGCCCCTCTCGCACGGCGCGTGTCCCAGGAGGTGTGGGGCATAGTTTCCCCCATAAAGCTTACATTCCCCTCCTCGACCTCCTCCTCCTCCTCCTGATTGCCCACGACACCCTCTCCACAGTGGCTGGCGTCGTTTGCCAGTCACGTCGCTCCGCCTCCCTCTCGGGCCTCTGCCGATGCTGCCATACCCGCTCTTGCTAGGCAAACGCTGCTCTGGGCGCCGGCAGAATTATCAAGCACCGAGCCCGCCCTGAAGCACTAACGCAGCAGCAAGCGCACTCTCAATACTCTGGCACTTGTGGACGGTAGTCCGCAGGTCAGCCCTAGTCTAACCTACAACGCAGGCATCAGTGCGTGCGAGAAGGGTGGGAATTGGATGTTGGCGCTGTCGTTGTTCAGTGACATGTGGGAGGCGAGCATGGAGCCAAACGTTGTCAGCTACAGCTCTGTGGCCAGCGCGTGCGAGAAGCGCGGACAGTGGTTGCGGGCGCTTGTTCTGCTCAGCGATATGCGGGCCGCCCATGTGGATCCAGACATTTTCATCTACAGCGCTGGGATCAGCTCGTGCGAGAAAGGTGGCCAGTGGCAGCTTGCAATTGCGTTGCTCGGCGAGATGCGGGAGGCGAATTTGGAGCCCGACGTCGTCTCAGTCGAGCACGAATGTGGTCAGCAGTATGCGCTGTAGCGAACGGGCCCCAATCCCCAAGGCAGCGCAAGATTGTCGCGGGGCGTTCTTGGACGGATCCACGGCGTTCCGAGACAGTCCCACGACTTCCCCGAGATGACCCCGGAATCCCACCTTGACCGCCCCAGGTCGCGCCAAGTTTCGCCTGCGACCCACCGTGCCCCCAGCAGCTTCTTCGGAGGCCCCGGCGAGGCTCTGGAGATGCCTTTTTGGGGTCGAAGGTAACAACACCCACCTCTGCTCAATGCCAGCCTAATCTAACAGAATGCTCAATGCTTCTGTGCAACACGCACACATCATGATAGCTCTCCCTTCGAGGGGGGATTCATCCAATGCGCAGGGGGGCCGGTACCCTTGTATATCTTGGACGAGGGGTCATTCACAATACCCGTTTCGATGCATTTTGCCATCTTCAGCTCGGGCGGCACATCGCTTCCGCAATCGTCCTGGCCCTGCGCCGCTTCCAATCACCAGTCTGCTGGAGAGGCTTGAGACATTCGGGAAAGGGCCCCGCAATCCCTGGGAGTGGCCCCACATGCATGGCCGCGAGCCGTGCCCTCCCGCCCCGCGCCGGTACGAGCTGACACATGGCGGTATGAAAGAAGACGACTACCGCAGACGAGCGCGAGGCCACACGGGGCGACGTGAGAGGCAGCCACGACCGAGGGGAAGCTGGGCGCCCCCCTCCGTCGTTGGGCTGGCTGCGGGGGAGAGGCCCCCGAGCCTCTTGCGGCAGGCTCCAGAGCCCCTGCGGGCAGGAGGCCTCCCGGCCTCCCGGAGGCGCTCCGTGGCCGACAGCTGCGGGTCCTCCTCCTCCTCCTCCTCCTCCTCCTCCTCCTCCTCCTCCTCCTCCTCCTTCATACTTCCTCCTTCCTCCTTCCTCCTTCCTCCTTCTCCTCCTCCTCCTCCTCCTCCTCCTCCTCCTCCTCCTCCTCCTGGCCGCAGCTTCGCGCCTCGAGGAGCGCGCGGAGCGCGGTCCGCGCGGCCACCTCCGCGCTCCAGGGAGGCGCCCCGAGAGCGCTCTCCAGAACGAGTTGGAGCCAGCGCTCCTGGCCTCGGCCGCGCCCGAAGGAGCTGGGGGGCAGGAGCAGGGGCGAGAGGAGGAGCAGGGGGGAGGGGAGGGAGATGCTTCACAGTCTCTGGGTCCGGAGGGTTTCTGGGGGAGGCCTCGGAGAGCTCTCGGGGATGGCCCCCGGGCCCTTGGGAGAGGCCCCAGGGCCTCTGAGCGTTTGGGATTCGGCGTTGGGGCGCGAGGGCTATTCTTGCGTGGGTGATTCAGCATTTGTACTCCTCCTCCTCGTCCTACCCCTTCCTCCTCCTCCTTCTCCTCATCCTACACTTTCCCCCCCCTCCTCCCCCCAGCGTGGGTCCCTGAACGGTGAATTCCTGCACTCTGGATGTGCAAGCTGCGTGGGGGGCAACCACCGTGGTGCGATATGGAACATGTGCGCTGCAGCCTATGCAGTGCAATCTGCGCGGTGCCGCGTTCGAAGTGCAACTTGTGCTGTGCAATGTATGCCGTGCATGTCATGTGGTGCAAGCTTTGTGGCGCAAGCTATGTGAGTTTCAAGCTACGCGGTGCACGGCGCAATTTGCATGGTACGAGCCATGCGGTGCACGCTACATGGCCCAGCGTATGTGGTACACGCCATGTGTGATGCAGTGCACATGTCGACGGCGAGCGAGGGTGCCTTTCTCAGAAGGCTCGGAAGCCCCCCGGCCTTCTGAGCGGTTTTCAGAGCCTCCCCGGAAGACACGAACACTTTTTCAGAAGGCTCGAGGGTTTCTGAGAAGCCCCGCCGCCTTCTGAGAAGGCCTTTTCCTTCTCACTTCCCCCCTCGCTCGCCGCCAAACAGGGCTTGAGTCGGGCCTGTCCCTCTACAGGGGGAATTTTCAAACATATTTTTTAAACAAGAAGGCTGGGGACGATGTTTTGAGTATTGTTTGGCATCTCTTGAGTATGTTTTGACTATTTTCATTTTTCGTCCAAAATCCTCCTGTAGGGGGACAGGCCCGACCTAAAATTAGGTCGGGCCTGTAGTCGCTCTCACGTTCCAGCGTAGTCTCTTCCAGAATGCAGGTATCGTGGACAACGGAAATATGCCTGCTTTGGTTGTTCTCACCCTGGTCAGCTACAGCGCTGCGGTCAGCGCGTGCGAGAAGGGTGAGCAGTGGCAGCGGGCTCTTGCTCTGCTCAACGACATGCGGGATGCGAATGTGGATCCGGACGTTCTCACTTACAGCGCTGGCGTCACCGCGTGCGAGAAAAGCGGGCAGTGGCAGCAGGCGATGGCGTTGCACTGCGCAATGTGGGAGGCGAAGCTGGAGCTTGATTCCATCAGCTACAGCGCACAAATCAGCGCCTGTGAAAAAGGCAACCAGTGGCAGCAGGCTCTGGTGCTGCTCAGCGAGATGTGGGGGGTGACGTTGGTGCCCGACGCAATGTCTTCTACAATGCAGACACCCGCGCGTGCCAGAAGGCCCTGTGCATCGAAGGGTTTTTGGGGCTTCTCCCGGCCCCGTGGCGCTCCGCGTCGGTTCCGGGGGTCTTAAGATGCCCAAGGGCGGCCTCAGACGGCCCCAAGACGACCTCGAGATGGTCCCGAGAGCGCTCCAAGACGGCCAAGATAGCCCCAAGGCGGCCCAAGAGGCCCCCAAGACGCCCATAGAGAGCTCCGAGATGACCCCCAAGAGGGCCTCCAGGACACGAATAAGCCCAATCCCTCCCGAAAACTTACAAGTTGGGTATTCTCGCTTATCCCCGCCTTCAGAATGTCCATGACGGCCCTGCACCCCCTTCTGCCTACCCAAAAACACCCCAGGAGGCCCCCAAGAGAGACCCAAGACGGCCCAAGACGTCCCAGGCGGTCCAGAGGCACCCAAGACGACCCAAAGACGGCCCAAGAGGATTTCAAGAGGGCCCCAAGAGCGGCCCCAAGACGAGCCAAACGGCCTCCAAACGGCCCAACAGGGCTCAAGACGGCCCAAGAGACGCCCAAGAAAGCCCAAGAGGGCCGCAAAGAAGCCCTACGAGGACCCCAAACGGTCCCCGAGAGTCCCCGAGAGGCTTCAGTTTGCCTCTACTAGGGAGGGGCCGGACGAGAGGAGAGAGGCTTATCGCACGCCCAGACAGGTTTTCTCAGGCTAGAATGCCAGAACCAACGAGTGCGAGAAAGGGCCGCTGTGGCAGCCTGGCAAACGGGCCAGTGGGGCCAGACCACCCGTGGAGACTCCCGGGACGGGCCCAGAGCGCCTCAAGTCGACCCCAGAGACGTCTTCAGAGATCCCCAGAGGAGCCCAACACAGTCGAAGAGGCCTGAAGAAGCCACGACAGGCCCCAACAGGGGGCCAGAAAGGCGCCACGAGAGGCCACAGACAAATTGGCATGCGGCCTCGAAGCTCCTCAAAAGAACCCCAGGGCCCCAGGCTGACCCCGTGGGCTCCCAAGACTGCCCACAGAGTGCCCCAAGAAGCCTCCAATATGGCCCAAGTCTGCCCCAGGAATGCCCAAGATGGCTCAGAAGAGGCCTGAGTTGGCCCCAAGGCGGCCCCGAGAAGGCGTCAAGACGGCCCTGGAGGGACCCGAGCGAGATGTGGGAGGCGAGACCGGAGCCTCGCTTCACCCCTGTTCTGATGCAGCGCGCGCGCGAGAGCCGGGTACTTTGGGACCCGCGGCATCCGGGCCAGAGCCCGCCGAGAGGCCTCAAGGATCGGCCCACGAGGGGACTGCGAGAGGGCCCCCGGAGGGGCTCAGGGAGCCCAAGAGGCATCCGGGGCAGCTTCAGCACAACCGTGAGACGGCCCCGACCCAACAGGCCCCCGGCGGAGACCCCCCCAAGATCGTGCAGGACAGGCCCAAATGGCCCAAGAGCTCCGAGGCGCTATCCCCAGCCCTGGGTGCCCCAAAATATTGCCCAGAAGAGGCCCAAGACGGCCTCCCCATGCTTGTCAGCCCCAAGACAACCACAAGCATGGAACACCTGACATGTGCAATGCTTTTGGCTTCCTCGCCTTGGCGGCCCAAGACGGCCCTCAGAATGATTGTGTCATCTGCTGGCCGTAAGTTTGATCCACGGGACACTCTATTCAGCTACCAAGCTGGAGTCGGCGCGTGCGAGAAAAGCGAGCGTGGCATTCACGTGTTATCGTTGCTGAGCGACTTGGTAGCTGAGCGGCATCTTGGTAGCTGAGCGGCATATTGGTAGCTGAGCGGCATCTGGGCAGCTGAGTTGCATCTGCTCTTCTGCTGTGCTGGGAAAGCTTGTATGCAAAGTCCTCACTTCCATAATTTGATCGTTCCCGTAATGGTTGGCCCTGGTTGGGTCCGGTCGGATTCCGCAGTTTGTGGGCACGCCAAAGATACGGGCCCACGCGGACTCCGCAGCTGGTCGGAGCGTGTCGAGAGCGTCCAAGCGTGCTCCTCAACAGTTCCGTGTCGCGAACAGGTCTGTCGTATCTGATGTCTTGTGGCGCCATGATTCGTTGTGTTTGCCGTGTCGTGTCGCGATCAGTTGTTCTCGTAGAAATGAGCTGCACCACGCATTCGCGTTGCAATCCTCACTTTGCATGCAAGTGGGATCACGTGGACGGTAGTCCACTGGTCAGCACTAGTCAGCTACAATGCTGGGAACAGCGCTTGCGAGAAGGGCGGGCAGTGGCAGCGGGCTTTGGCACTCCTCAGCGAGATGCGGGAGGCGAAACTAGAGGCCGACGTCATCTCTACTACATTGCAGGGCCCAGTGCGTGCCAGAAGGGCGCAGGCCCCAATGCACCGAAACCGCCCCGGGCTGGCCCCGGGCCGCCCCGGGCCGCCCAGGTAGGCTCCAGGACACGCCGAGAGGGCCCCCCGAAGCCCCCAAGACGGCCCCGGAGAGCCCCGGCACGCTTAAAGATGGGCCCAAGACGCCCGAGATTCGCCCCAGACGGCCCAAGAGGCGTCCAAGACGCCCGAAGAGGCCTCCCAAGAGGCCTCCCAAGAGGGCCCCGAGCGACAGAAATCGTCGATTTCTGTTGTGTTTTTCGATGTTTTCGGCCTCCTCGCCTCTTCGGCTTCCCGACGCTCCAAGACGGCCCAAGAAGTCTTCCAGACCGCTCCAAGACGGCCGAAGAGGACCCCAAGAGAGCCCCAAGACGGGCCAGGAGGGCCCCAAGACGGTCCCAAGACGCCCCAGGACGGCCCCAGGACGGCCCAGGAGGCGCCCAAGACGGCCCAAGAGGCACCCAAGACGGCCCCAGGAGCGGCCCAAGACGGCCCAAGACAGCCCAAGAGGCGCCGAGGCGGGCCTCAGACGGCCCCAAGACGGCCCAAGAGGCACCCAAGACGGCCCGAGAGGGCCCTAAGAGCCCCCCCGGGAGGCCCAAAAGAAGGCCGAAGAGGCTCCGAAACGGCCCCCACGAAGCCTTCAGTGGCTTCAGAATTCCCTCCAGGAGCGGGGGAGCGGACGAGAGGCGACAGGCATATCGCAGGCAAAAACGCCCCAAGAGATCCCCAAACGGCCCCCACGAAGCCCTAAGTGGCCTCAGAATTGCTTCCAGGAGGGGGGGAGCGGACGAGAGGCGACCGGCATATCGAAGGCACAAAAGAACAATGTTGGACGCTCCGAGGGCCTTCGATGTTTCTCTGTTGGGGAGAGTCGTCGTAGGATCGACGATTGCCGACCGAGGGCATGGAGAATCGAGCGAAAGAGGAGGAGAAGGTGGAAGAGGAGGAGGAGAAGGAGCAGGAGGAGGAGGAGGGGCCTGGCGCTGCACTGCGAGATGTGGTTGTGGAAAGCCAAGCTGGAGCCCGACGCCATCATGATTGCCTTTCGGCCCTGCAGCCGCACCCCCCCGCGCTTGCCTAGAGACCCCTCGCCACGTCGAGCTGATGTCGTGGACGGAGTCCACAGGTCTGCCCTAGTCAGTTACAGCGCTGGGATCAGCGCGTGTGAGAAAGGTGAACAGTGGTAGCAGGCTCTCGCGCTGCTCGGCAAAATGCGGGAAGCGAAATTGAAGCACAACATGATCTCGTCTGCACCAGCTCTTTCGACCATACATTAGCAAGAAGGGTGTCGTCGGCGTCGGCATCGTCGGCGTCATTGTCGTCGACGTCGTCGTCGTCGTCGGATGGGCGGGCGCGCGGGCGGACGGGCGCGCGCGCGTGCGTGCGTAGAGCACACGAGTTCAATATAATGCTAAGTGATTGTGTGCCCCCTGCGTTGCCATTTTCACGAGCGGCGTAGATTGGATCGTGTCCGCCCCTTCTGATGCCAAGTGGCGAGTAGAAGTGTAGGCATTCGTGCCCCCGCGGCCCCGTGCGTTGCCATGCCACGCGTCGCGCGAAACAGAAGCATTCACCCCCCCCCTCCCCCCACTCCCCGCGCCGACATGTGACGAGTGCAGTGGAGTAGTATGTTTTCCGCTCGCATGCTCTGCCAAATGACGAGAGGAGTCGAACCATTGCTTTTTTCCATTTCCTTCAGATTCCCCCTGGCTTCCCGAAATTCCCAGCGGCTTCCGTCGGTTCCCAATGAATTCCCGATGATTCTTGACGAGTTCTTCCGAGTCCCGCGGCAATTTCTGAGGACTGAGGGAGGGGGGGGAGGGCAGTTTCCGGGAGCTGGAGGGGAAAGCGGTGGCCAGGGAGGAGAGCGGCTTCGGGGGAAGGCCCTTTCGGGGAAGGGGGGGGAGGGGGGCTGGCATCCGCAGGCCGGAGAAGATGCGGGAGGGAGGGGGAGAGGGGGGGGAGAGAACGTTTTGGGAGGTCCAAAGGGAGGAGGGGTGCAGCTTCCGCGCTCGGAGAAGGATCGTTGGAGGTGGGGGGGGCTTCAGGACGGGGAACCCCTACTGGGGCAGTGGATGGCTTCCGCGAGCTGGAACAAGGGAGGGAGAGGGTACAGTCGGACCGAGCTATAAGATCGAGGTCGGTTCGGGGAGGGTGCCCTAATGTTCTTCGTGTTTGTTGGATGGTACCTTTGGGTGTTTTGTTTCGGCGGACGGAGGGTCTCGTGTCCTTGAGGGATCTGTTTCTGGCCTAATTCCGATTGTAGCTGGGTTCGGAACGAGGGCGCCCGAAGGGGGGGGTAGGCAAGGAGGTTCCTCCCCCTTGGTTTTGGTGCCACAGGCTCTCTCTCTCTCTCTCTCTCTCGGAGCTCGTCAGACCGATAGGCCGATAGGAATAGATCTCGGCACATGTCGCCAGATAGGCCGCGAGATCAAAGGGCAGACCGTGCGGTCGAGCGATAGATCTTGAGATCGGCGGGTGGGTTGCGAGATCGGCAGATAGCAAGGTCAAGACAGACAACGAGTACAAACACGATTGGGTGCCAAACGCAAACCGCCAGCTGACCCCCCCCCGACCCACCAACCACCACCATCACCACCAACCTCCCTGTCGCTCGAAAGGTGATTATTCTATGAGCTATACGCATCAAGCTGTTGTCATAGCATAGCCTTGACACTGGATCAGCCCAACAATGTCATTGCATGTCTTGGCGCAGCATATCATGGCACAGCATGGCAGTGTAAAGACGTTGTGATTGGTTTCGCCGGCCCTGAAGCTTGATCATCAAGAACGGAAGATGTGGGAGTGGGACGGATGAAAGGGGTAAACGGAAGAATTAATTTTGATCTGATTGCGGCATTGCTCGATTTCCTTCGGGCGGTAGCGCGTTTGTGGGGCCCTGACTGCTTTGAAACATTGTATGAGGTAATTCGGCCCACCCCGACACCGTGCTGGCGTCAACCAGGCGCCTTTGGGGAACCTTTGAATTTCGCTAGAAGAGACCATTGGGTGGTTTTGTGGGCGGCTCTTGAAGAGCTTCTGCAGGCTTCTAATCGGCTCCACCACGTGGCTTTGGACTCCTGGATGCCTCTCGGGGAACTCGTGGGGGTCGTTTGCAGACCTCTGGGGAGTCTTGGGTCCATCTTGGACGGGAGGCTCCCAGTTGTCGCGCTCTTTTGTGGGCCTCCTTGGGGCTGGTTTGGCTGCCTCTGGGGTGGCTCTTGGGAGCCTCTTGGGAGCCTCTTGGGCCGTCTAGGGGAGGTATCTGCGGCAGTCGTGGACGCTAGTTAGACAGAACATGTGAACGTGTTGGAATATTTTGGGGAACTACTGTTGTGTTCATGGGGTGGGCCTCTTTCGCCAGCCCCTGGGGCCTCCCCTGGGGCCTCCAGGAGGGCCCAAGAGACCTTCAAGACGGCGCCAGTACATGCCCCTGAGATATCTTAGGACGTGCGTGTGGCGTACTGGAGGCTTGGATTCTGAGCTGCGCTGCGCGTGATGCCGAGGCGTACGCGCAGCAAGGACGGGGGGGGTCCTTCCTTGGCGGGGAAGGAAGGGGACTTCTCTTCGACTCGATTACGACAGTGTTCCCGGTCTTCCTTGGGCTGGCGTGCGCTCGCGAGAAGAAGGAGGCCCCAAGGTAGCCAAACGTGAATGAGGGAAGAGCTTCAGAAGGGCCACAGGAGGCAGGCAGTCGTCTCCTCACGCCAACAGGGCTGGCGGACCTGCGCTCCAGGTCACGAGGACGCGGCCTCTCAGGTTCTACCAGGGAGCGCCCCTCTGCACCAATCAAACGAGGAACCCCCATAGGCAAGCTGGGGTCCGCAGCCGTTTTGGTCCAGCTCGTCCGTCTGTTAGGGAGGCCCCCAGAAACAGGGCAATAGGTGCTGCTGTCGATGAGCCGTTCAAGTGCCGAAAGAGATCCCCGAGTGGATGTTGGATGGCCATTTCGAATGTTCGCGAGGTTCCCTTTTTGAAAAAGCGACCATCAAGACACACGGGAGAAAGGTTCAGTGGATCGTAGCGCTACGCGTTTTCCAGAAAGCACGTCAGGCACGCACGAAAGAAAGCCACCGTCTCTACATTGATCTTGTCAGCGCGCGCCGAAAACGCAGTCAATGGCAACAGTCTTTGTCGCTTCTCCGTGAAATCACTGAATTGACGCTGGAGGCCAATTTTATCAGGGGGCTGTATTCTGACCACCCGCCCCCTTCACGCCCCCCGACCCCCCCCACGCCCACCCCGCCCCCCGGCGGGTTGGGACTGACGACGAGGACGACGACGGCGACGATGACGACCACGACAGCGTCTTCCACACGCCGAATGGTTGGTGGATTGCGCATTCGACCGTTTTGGGGCCATCTTGGCATCCTCTGAGCCCGTCGTTACGCCGTATGATTTCTGAAAACGTCATGAGGGAAACCCTTG